GCCGGCCCACAGCTAGCGAAAAAGAATTGTTTTTGTGAGGGTTAAGAGGTCACTGGCGGAATCATAAAATCGAACAGACTAACCTGGTTAGAAGTGAAGAGGTGGGTGTACCCTGTGCGATGGTAATCAACGACCAGTTTGAAAACACCGTAAACGTCTGGAAGCTTGAGTTGGACCTCGTATTTGTTGCCTTTGGTAAGAGGAAAGAGTATGCACCTCATTTGTAGGCGAATACATATTCCCATAGTGCTAACTCGCTAGTCTAATCAAAAAAACTTTGCAGTCAACTATAAAGTGCGAGAAATCAGACGCTCGCCGACTTCTACTGATCTATGTAGCTAGATAAACAGTTGAAGATTTGAGTCACTATAAAACGAGAAAAACACGCTTGGCGAAGAATGAGCCAGTCGAAGCTAATAATTTAGTGGAGATTAGGTGCAATCTTCCAAGCAAATAGTTGACAAGTTGTATCCCGCAGCTTTGTAAAGTATGCGCTTATGTAAGCTGCCAAGGCAAAATTACCTTTGTGTGGGAGCGTTCGCCTTATGAAGGGGTCAATACGGATCAGTTCCACCTGAACATCGTCGGCTACAAATGGCTTCCAGGTTCCATCCAAACCCTTCATCTCGATGTCAATAGAAAAGATAATGTCGTCTTTGATGGTGTACTCCCGCATGGAATCCTTCTCACCGACTTTATTGTGATGCACAGACGACACTCGAAGGACACCAGTTTCTTTAAAGGTCCAGAGGGCAAGGTTTTCTGAAAGTTCTCGGTTCCCTGATATGTTATGGCTGAAAAGTGACAATACGAAAAGACACTGAGAACTTAATTAAGGAAGAAATGGCGACGAGTGAGAAGTGGTCGAAAATCGGAAGGTAGCGACAGTTTAAGGAATTATTCGGCGTAATGACGACGATAAATGCTGAAAAGGTGAAGAATCCGAGTCACAATGGAGATTTAGGTGGCGCCATAATCGAAATTGACGTTTTGGTATTGCGTTCTCTAGTTTATGCTGCCTATGAGATGTGCTTGGCGCGGACACCGAAGGTGAACTGCGTCGAAAAATATCGATCACAAGGTCTACTTGATGAAGCCGTACTCACATATATCTCTACCGACAAGCTCCGCCCTACATCATCCGCACATCTCAGTATGTCTCGTGGACATCAGGAAGGAGGCTATATCTACATGTGCTACAGGCCTATTACAAAGCACGCTCGGAAACAATCGCCTATTTGGGGCTACGTTTCAAAAGGCCATCGTTAATCAGAGCTCAGTGTTTGTGACAAAGCCGAATCAGACAGGCTTGCCTGTCTCGGTTGGGAGTACATTAATGTGGAGTAAAGTGCGGTTACTCCTTTACTTTCATAGGATGTAAGTGAATTACCTCTTGCCCGTTTGGCTGTGAACCGTACCCGACAAGAAGAATTCGTCAGAGAAGAAGTCCAGAGAACCAACAAAAACGACTCGAGCATCGTTCCTGGCCTGCAGGCCTGTTATTAACTGCGTATTTTTGCCGACGGTTGTTGGGTAGTTGGTGATCGGTGTATCTGGGGAGTGGGAGTATGCAGTATCGGATGCATGGAGAATGTTAACCAGCAGGGGATTTTCGGGGTTGACAGCGATTCTAGGAGATAATGTAATAAAATTAAAGGCTACCCAATGCCGCGATAGAGCAAAGGCCTGCTAACCTTGCCCGTAATAACTGGGACGTCAGCGATATTTTCCGGACCGACAATAATAAGATTGTGCTGAAGAAGTAAAAGGGACTAGAAAAAAAAACAGTTACCTTTCCCTCATCCATCACATCATAGTTCATGTGGTCGATAACAGTAGTCTTTTCGTCGTCAAACTCTACCCCACAATCGCTGCCGAAGTCTTTGATAGCCTCGCCGATATCCGAGCTTCCCGCAACGAGAATGTTTCCACCCTCGTCAACAAAACGAGTGAGTTTCTTCACATCGATGTTGCCGCCGAATTCTTGAAAAATAAAAAAATCAGAAAACTCTACCTCTAACAGAAGGGGCAAAAATAATAATGTGCTGATACATATATTCGCCCAGGTACTTCAGGTCGAGGGAAGCATCGTCGGCGTACTTAAAGACAAGGTGGTAGCCACGATCTGAAAGTTCCAAGCCTTAAAACTGATTACCTTTCAAGAATTTGAAAAACATGGAATGTGAATCACGAACGAAGACATTTTCAATTAAAACTAGGATTCTATTTTCAGGGACTTCTGCGTCGTTAAGCGCTAACAGGAGAGAAAGGACGAAGAGTAGGAGACACCTCATCCTGTCAATTTCAACAGCAGCGCCGTTACAGACGTGGAATAAGGAGTCAATATAAACACTGAAGGCTGAAGAACTCAAAGGTCTCCATAGCTCTCTTTTCAAAACGAATCCGTGTGACAGTGGGACTTTATCTTCCTTAAGTCTTTGCATTAAGAGCCGGAACAACAACATCCCATTGTACAATAGTCGAATTACCCCACAAAGCCTGGAAAACCGTAGCCCGACTTTTCTGAAGCTCCAGGTAAATTCATTCAGCCTGTATCAGATTATATTAGGGGGATAAGTAAAACTTTTAATAACTCTACTTCCACATACGCGAATTGGAAACGGGGACATGTCCACGTATCAATTGGGCATTCCATGTGGACTCATCGATTCTTCATTTGAAACTCTGAATGATTTCCACCAAAAAGACCCTTTGAGGCAGTTTGTTCCAGTAATAAAGAACTTGGTAAGAGGATAGGTTATTTTGTACGCCAGAGTTTTGTCTCTATTCCTCACCAGTGCCTGGGAAAATTTGTCGTTTGCACCGGATTCTGGGAGTGACTGAACCGACGATCTGATTGTATACCCTTGATCATTCAAAAGAGTCTGGTCATAAGCCTTTTGTGTTGACAAACAATATCTAGCCTATATTGTCACCGCGCATTCGTTGGGAATGTTAGTCCGCAGACTAATCTGTCTTACCTACGTTGCTCTGTCCCTAAGAAACCTTATCTTGAACCACATAGACGCGCCATGCCTTAGTGCAATATTCTGAGTTTAACAGGACAAAAATTCCAGCTTCGCGTGTCAAAATCCGAAAGCAATCTCCTGTGTACTATTAAAACACTTATGGCCTCCCTTGATCCTTAGAACAGTTGCACGATGGTCTGGGAGTGAGCGTCATCCAAGACCCAGGTTACGTCGGCCCGTTCATTTACCCTAGTTTGACTTTCGATGTTATACTAAGCGCCTAATATGCTTGCTGACACGCCAAATCAAACGCATATAAAGTGGCATACACAGAAAGTAAGGTTAAGGAGACACTCGTAACACGACTGCTATAATTGATCCAGGATATCTTGCAACTGCAGCGCCTGCCACGATCTGGGGTCATCGGCAAAGACTGCCCTTTTGCAGCCCAATGAATCCGGTTAGTCCTTCAAATATATTGAAGACATCATAGATTCCACAACGTTCTTCTATTTATCTCCAATTTCAAGTGTTGGACAGCCCTACCTGGCATTATTAGCACACATGTGTTGAGATCTACGTGGGAGAATGCCTGTTAGCCACTTGAGAAGGTTTCCAGCCGACACATTTATCCTGGGCTAAGTATCCATCGCTTATTTAGAACACTGTCAAATCTCTTTGACAGTCAATGTTGGCTGTCTACTGATA